AAACCCTTTAAAAGGGTTTGTGACGCGTTGCACTTTCATAAACCCTTTTTTCGTTTTTTATTCTACGGATTTTTTTACAGTGTAGTGTTACGTATTCCTCAAAAATTCAGACCGAATAGATTATCTGCAGCGGTATCTCTATCGTGAGAAGAACGTAGCATAATATACATAGTTGAAGTTTTCGATGAGCAGCGCCATGACGTTGTATTCGAAATCCGAATAACAAACATTCGATGGCATCGCCTGACTCTTCCATTAAAATATCTAGTAACATACAAGAAATCAAATCAAATACGATGTAAAATCCGCATCTTAACTTACCACATGGGTTATGTTTCTCTTCATTCAGATTACAGCTGAATTTAAAAATACGTCCAATGGCCTACCTCATGAATAACTGTGAATAATATCAGAGTGGTATATCTTATTTGTTGATTCATATCGCTTGCGAGTTTCGAACATTCTAATATCTAAATTAAAAAAAGAAGATGTGTTGGCTCAATGCCAAAAGGAAAAATAACTGAAACAGTTGTGTTTCTAGCAAATGATGACATATCAACATCTATAGTTCATTCTTATTTTGATTTTGATTCTACTACTTTAGATTTGTAACCAGCGAGGATGATAATGAGTAGTACCTGATGCAGATCCACCAATAAAGTCAAACGAAAACCTATCATGCAACTAAAATTATATTTCCATGCACTGTAAAAAAAATCCGTAGAATACTAAACCCAAAAAGGGTTGATGAAAGTGCAACGTATAATAAACCCTTTTTTCCGTTTTTGAAAATTTTCATAAACCCTAATGGGTATTTTCCACATAATCATAAACTCTTTAAGGGTTTATGAAAATTTTCAAAAACGGAAAAAGGGTTTATTATACGTTGCACTTTCATCAACCCTTAAGGGTTTAGTATTCTACGAATTTTTTTTACAGTGTGGCTGTGGCTGCTGGTTCTTCATTGGACTTAACTTAATAGCAATTCATTATATATGCAATGAATTGATTGCTGACTTATTTACAGTTGCTAAACGAAAAGTATCACACCGTAATTCCATTCGTTTCTTTTCTGTCTAATCTATATTATCGTACCAGTATCATTCCATATAATGAAGCATTTCTAATATGATTAGCATTATCTACAGCGCTTGTTGAAAGTTGTCTACGTCGATAGCACTATTCAACATTTCTCCCTTCGATATTTTCACGATCAGTCAAAGGACACATTACTTTTTGACTTGAAATGTTTTTTAAAAATTTTTCTTACCGACTTCAGGTATGCTCTGCTTTTAATGCATGGGTCGGAGCTTATCATTGTAAATTCATTATAAGATGGGTGAATTCTTACATTTTCACTAGAGACGCCGATAATTCATGAGTCAAGAAGATAACATACAGTGGCTCCGAAAATTATCCAACAAGGTTTATTTTCAATTTTTTTCCGCTACCTGAATCATTACACAGATTCCAAATAGTAATTCGAGTAGAGAAAATTGTTTCCAACAAGAATATAGCAAAACGAAAATTCCAGTAAAATTCTCAAATCTAGGGTCTCCAAAAAACCAAAACCCTAGTTTTTGTCACCCAGAAGTCGTCAAATCTTTTTTGTTCTAACCGTCTAGAATGATGGAGTGACCGATACTCTACAAAATGAAATGCCTCCCAGCTCTCTACGACATTCCCTTCAAAGGTAATAAGCCTCGCAAAAACCGAAAAAATGCATCTTTTAGTCGAGTTACAGCTAAATTTCACATTTTTTCGGTTTTTGTGAGGCTTATTACCTTTGAAGGGAATGTCGTAGAGAGCTAGGAGGCATTTAATTTTGTAGAGTATCGGTCACTTCATCATTCTAGACTGTTAGAACAAAAGAGATTTGACGGCTTCTGGGTGACAAAAAGCTAGGGTTTTGGTTTTTTGGAGGCCCTAGATTTGAGAATTTTACTGGAATTTTTATTTTGCTATATTCTTGTTGGAAACAATTTTCTCTACTCGAATCACTATTTGAAATCTGTCTAATGATTCGAGTAGCGGAAAAATTGAAAATAAACCTTGTTGGATAATTTTGGGAGCCACTGTATATCAGCCGAAGGAAGAGAACGTAAGAGTCTTCTTAAAGATTTCTCCAATGACGCATAAAATAGAGCATAAAATAGAGATCACAGCGTTTATGGAAGATGTTGCACATATAGACAAAAAGGCATGTATGAGATGGAAATACTTTACTTATAATCCACATAAGCGATGGAAAGTAAACTTTAGGATAAGCAATTGTATTGATAGGGTTACTAATCATAAAATTGTAATTAAATCAATCAGACGCATCTTTATATTGTTAGTCTTGCGAGAATATGAATCTTACATCTTTATTGATATAAGTAACATGTTCATCTTCTTCACGTACTTGTTCATTGTAGAGACCGTATATAGAACAGTTGTTCACCTCAAAAAGTTTACTATCTTCTTGAAAAATCACATTCGGTAAGTGTTTGTCAGTAAGAACATGTTTGATTTGATTTAATACTGATTCAGATACATGTTTCTAAAAACAAAAATAGTAAATCAAAAAACCGATTCAACTTTAATCATTTCTGGTATACCAAATAATCATATTGATATTGACCGATTGGATCGAAATGAGGACTGAATTTTTTTGTAGATGATTATTTCGTAAAATATTTTGCGAGCCAAATAAAATCATATTAAGAATAGGATATTTCTTTCTTAGATCATTAGAAATCTAAAAAAAGAAGCTACAGTAATGTTCTAAGTCGTATATAGTATTGTTTAGTGACATTAGATTTTCAATTTCAAATATCGAATAAAGTCTAAAAGAGAATTGAAACAAACCTAAAACTCAGTTAATGACCAAAACAAACAATCGTCAGATTATTTGCTGTTTGCTAAAAATGAGTGTATCAAGTAATTATAAAACTGAAAAAGAATTAAAAACCAACCAGGAGAAATCATGTAATAAGTCAAACTGATTACAATTTTTGGAATCTTCTTGAGTTTGTTTTTTTTCCAAAATTAAACCATACGTTATTTTTGATAGAAGCAAAAGCTCGGTATAAGCGCGAAATATAACTGATATTATTCTTAGGTAAATCATGAATGCATAAATCAAAATTAGAGAGATGCTAACAAAATATAGACGGTTCACGACCAAAACTGTCACCCATTTTCTCTTCGCTTCTCGAGGATTAATCAGGAAAGCATCTGAGAAACAATGAAGCCTCGTGATAGATTAACTAGTGTCTGGATATTTTTTCATGTTCTTAGCACATATGATGCAAACATTTCTGAACAAATTTAGGCTTACAACAAATTGCCTACTTCTGAATTAGACCCGATAGAATACGTATGTATCACTCTTTCAATTGTTTAAAAGATGTCGCTTACCAACATTCCCTAGTGAAACGTCTTGCAAGTAAGATCTTGGGTACAGATGAGTGAACAGATCTTGAAAATTTAGGTACAAGATAATCGCATTATATTGTACCAAGATCTTATTGCAGATCTTAGGTAAGAATCCATAAGATCTTAAATGAAGCATTCTGAAAGCATGTTTTGATATTTTTTCCATTTATTTTAATTTTAATTATTCCTGTCCCGAATAACTCAAGCAAGTCAGACATTGGGATCTGACCGGCTTTAAGTTGGTCCGATATCCATCAAACCAATTTAGAGTAGTCCTCCCTCGATCATCGATCAAGATCAGCATTCTCTCGAATAATCAATAACCGAGAAATAGTTTTAAAAAAGTTATTTTGAAAAAGTATGCTTCGCATGTTCAATCATGTTGCTTATATTCAGCTCTGTATGCATAAAAAACGGTAAATGACTAGATAGCCTATGTAAATGCAGTAATGATGTCGCTCTCTGTTTTACTCAAGATCTTGTAAGAAGATAATATTAAACGATATCTTTTCCATGATCTTGCCAAGATCTTAGGTACATATTTATCTGATACAACCAAGATATGTACATACAAATTATCTTTTTAAGATCTTGATAAGATCTTACTTACAAGATGGTTCACTAGGGTTGACATTCTGATTTTTGTGAAACTAACTTCATAAGTATACTTATTTTCAATAGCGATTACTAATTTATTGATTGCTATTTTTTATGATAAATATTTTTATTAACTGTTGAACTATAATAGATATTTTCTTTCTCTTCTATTCATAGTCGTAAAAAAATCGTTCATGCCGGCCTTTTATTCTGCTACAATGTGTCATGTTATATTGAATCGATAGCATAGAAAAATAAAACTTTTTCTTGAATACCAAGAAAATCCAGTATTATGAAATGATGCAAACCAATGAGAGTGAAACGATGAAGTGTACACATGTGCTGATACTGATGGCACGCTTCGATGATTCTTCTTCCTTCTCTTTCTGTTCTCTTTCCCTTGTTCTAATATATATCTCTTTCCTGTCTCTCTTCTATCTCTCTCCTATATATACGTGTGTTATGTATAAAGTTGTTACACTCTGGATATGTGAAGAAGCGAATAAACATAATTGCCGAGAGCGGCGGTAAGCTACTCCACCTTTATCCAGTTTATCTTAACGTATCAACCCAAACAGGATCCCATACTTTATCGTTACAACACATAAATTCAATATTGTAGAGTTACCGCTCTTCCATATTGTCTTACTCGATGGTATCATTCTCTATGGTTGCATCATGAAGAAAATGCATGCATACATTATTTGTGACGCAATGAATCCTTCATCGCTTCTTAGCAATATTCTATGTGTGCGTAACCTCTTGATCGGTCACTGATGAAAGTTTTTTTGTTCATTCTGTCGTCGATTATATATCATAATATGTGCTCTTTATTGAACACTATTATTAAAAAGGTACGTAGAGAAAGAGAAAAAAAAAACTTCATTGTGATATGAAGTAAAAATATAAACACCGTGTCAAACAAGTAGACAGTTATACATCGGCTGTCTTGAGATATTTATCGTCTTAACAGCATCGAAAATATGTCCGATATTACAACCATTTTGACAACAACGATTACGATATTGTTTAATACTAGTATTACTCTAGCTGACGAAACAATCAACAATTCTTTAGCAACAAATGTGACAGTAGTTCCACCAACATCAGATACAAATGTACCACTATGGGTTGGCTTTATTGGTTGTCTAATTGCATCAGTCTTCTTTGGTTCCAATTTTGTGCCTGTAAAACAATATTCAGCAGGAGATGGATTCTTCTTTCAATTTGTTTTCTGTGTTGCGGTGTGGATTGTTGGTCTTATACTGGATGTGATTCTAGACAATCAACGATTCTATCCTCTCGTACTTATTGGAGGTAAGATTTAACTATAAACTAGACATTATATTCAAATTATTTTAGGTGTTCTCTGGGCGACCGGCAATCTTGTAACGGTGTTCTGTATTAAGACATGTGGCTTAACTGTTGGTCTCCTCATTTGGTGCACGAGTTGTTTGATTATGGGTTGGGCAGGTGGTCGTTTTGGTATATTTGGTATCAATGCACAAGTTCCATCGACATCATTAAAATTAACTCTGAATTATGCCTCAGTCATACTGGCAGCAACAAGTGCCATCTTCTTTGTTCTAATCAAGTCGAACAATACGTCGAAGGAGTCGACTACAAGTTACAAACCAAATAAACAAGCTACAGTAGAAATCGAGAAGAAGGCAGATTTCAACGAAGATACGACCGAAATAGCTACGGAAACCGATTTTCCATTTCTCGTTCATCTTAGTGCACCGATCCAAAAAGCACTGGGATGTGTTTTGGCACTAATGGCTGGTGTTTTCTATGGTCTTATGTTCATACCCGATCAATATATTCGTGACCATCCCGAAAAATTTCTCTACAAGGGAGAACGACCGCCATTGAATGGTCTCTATTATATCAATTCACAGTATTCTGGAATCTTACTTTCTTCTACTTTCTACTTTATTGTCTATGCGCTTTTGAAACGCAACAAACCGACGATAAATCCAACCATCGCATTACCAGCCATGGTTAGTGGATCAATGTGGGCCATCGCCAATATTGGTTTTATTCTAGCTATTAGCTCATTGAAAGGTGCCGTTGCTTATCCAATTGTAGCCATACTCCCAGGTGTTGTAACATCACTATGGTCGTTATTTTGGTTTCGGGAAATTGTTGGCAAAAAAAATTATATCTATCTTGGATGTGGCATGTTTCTACGATGTCTGGCTGCTCTTCTCAGTGGTCTGTCGGCATAGAACTATCCGCAGAACGAAGTTGAATATCGTATATGATTATCAATAACCTTTTTTCTTACGTTTTTTATTTGTTTCCTTATGTATCCAACTATCAGTTTTGTTCACCGCTATGTCTTTCATATATAGAAGATAACTAAAGAAAAGAAACGAAGTCAAGGAAATTGAGTCGACCGATACTGAATCCTATTCAGCTTGAGAAATATTCTTCCGAGAAACACCAGAATAGCCTGTTAAACAACAAAAATCATTACAGATATTTCAACACATTTAACATGATCTTTTCAACTATTTACATGTTTCTTGTTGTGTTAGCTTTTCTTATTATTTTCTGCTTTCGCACGATGATTCATCTTTGGACGATAGTCATTATCTGCTGACATATCAACTGCATCTTTTATGATGATGAAAATATTTGCAAAGCATTTTTTGTTGCTTCCTCTTACTAGGAAAATGTCAATAACTATCAATAATTCCTTTCTATTATTCGAAATCCGACTTCTTATGGAAAAAAAAATCATAGAAAAGAGCGAATTTACAAAAAAAAATGTTCTTGTAGTTCAGCAACTACTTGTTTTGATTAGTTCTAATAGACTGGAATTATTTTCTTTTGCATTAAAACGTATTTTATAGAAATGATTTATGCATCGATCTCAGCTTTCTTTTCACCGCTTTTCTATTTCTATCAATATCAAACGATACGACATGTAAAGATTGAAATATTTGCTGAGAATTTAAATTGATCATGATTTTATGGACATCTGTTTCTTGCTCTACAATTTTCTTGATTAGTGCTTTTAATTTAAAAGCTGAATAAAACAAAATCCAAATGGGTTGTGAGGGTGTTGGTGTGGGCGTGGATTTGGATGTAGTTGTGAGTGTGGGTGTCGGTGTCGGTGTGGGTATGGATGTGTAGATGTGATCATGTGACAGATACACACACGCCCACCCACACCCTTGAAAAATGAAGCTGAAGCATAAAACAATAAATTCTTTTATCCACAGTAGTATTATATCTTTTTGCGAGCTACTGGGCTGGATAATAATAAAACAGTAGGATATCAAAGATTTTATTTAGAGTTATTCTTTATTATAAAGCGGAGAAAAAAAGCAAAGTAAAGTTACGCATACAGATTGTTTCTTCTCTTTTCATTCTTTTATTTCCCACTGATGCTTATTGACCTTGACTCATGCTGTCCTGGCCCTGTCTATGATCTCATAATAAATCTTCGACTTTCTTCAAACTTCTCGTTGACAGTCACAGACATGCCTCTTTAACGTTAGCACATTAGAAACATGACAAGTACAGTAACAACTTCCAAACCTAAATTTTTTACATGTGGGAAAGACAAATTCAACTTATACCCATGCGAAGGTTGCTCAGAAAAATTTTGTTTGACAGATCTACCAAAACATCATCAAGAACATGTAGCAGAATTAGAAAAAAAATGTTACTGATTTTGATACATTCCAACAAAATATTAGTGAAAAAAAACAAGATCTAAATCATCGTCCATTAATACAACAAGTAAATGAATGGGAACACAATTCAATCGTAAAAATTAAGCAAATAGCAGAAGATAGTCGACAAAGATTATTTAAATCGACAGATGATAATATTGCTGAAATAAAGAAGAAATTAAATCGATTCATTACTGACTTGAGAAAAATGCGAGATGATGATGATTTCAATGAAATTCATTTAAAAAAATTGACGGTGCTATTAAAAGAATTGAAAAAGAACTTAACCAACCGCTGAATATTTGCATAGCAGAAGAACGTACATGGTTTTTAAACAAAATATCAATTATAACCAAAACTTCAGTTTCAGGTCAGTGTGACACGTAGATCTCATTTGAAGAAAGAGTTTACGAATGACAGACGTAGATAAGAGTGTGGGTATGAACCCTCGGTTTATACCACTCCTCCACCAATAAAGAAAATTTTCAGTTTTTTTTTCAGCGAAAATATCAGATTTCGTTTGCATTTTACGCTTTTCCAACAAGACTTTTTGAAAAATTCATCACGCTCGCCAGTACTTCATGCTTGACGCGGTCTCTGCCAATAGGGATCATTGGACAAAAACCGTTTGGTTTCAGTGCACACGTGGGAGCAGTAGTGGCTGAGGGTCTGCAGTGATAATAGATACAATGCAATACTATTTGGGGCTACTTTTAACTTTTGGGGGTATTTATTTTTCATTCAGCACACAAAACATGTTCATCGATGCTCACACCCATATCTTTCATATTCCTATTGCTCTGCCATTTTCTCTATTTTCTCTATTCAACTTAACTTATTTTTATGATATCTTTGTTATGTCAGGAGATGTCTCTCATGACATAAGAATGGCATCTCTATGCTGATATAATCGTCTCACATTGGATTATAACTGTTCTGTTATTCATCTAATGATATTCGTCATGGTGGATAAATGATAGTAGAGAATGGCGTAGAGAAAGAGAAAGAGAACACATTGCTTTGTTGCGTTTTTTGGTGAATTCATTCGAATTTCGTTTGTAAAAGAAAAGATGAAGAATAAACGAGATAAAGTTATAACAATTGGTGCGCTAGCCGGTTTTGATTCTTGTTCAAGTTATTGATGTAGGTTAACACGACAAGGTGCATTACGAATTTTTCAAGCAGAATTTCAACGATTAGCTGATATTGATATTGATTTTTCTGATAATATACCAATTTATTGTATTGCTCATCGTCCCAAAGAACTTATTATGGCAGAAAAGACAGTTGCAAATTTACTCAGTAAATCTTTAAAGCAAATACCCAAATATTCAGGCAAACCTGATCAAAATGCTGATGAATGGCTTAAGGAACTTACTAGCACGTTTCGTATGGCTGATATTAATGAATCGTAAGCAATCAAAAGTATACCTACATTTTTCGAAGGCCCTGCTAAGCAATGGTATCTTGAAAATAATACAACGTTCGAATCCTGGAGTGTATTTAAAGCAGAATTCATTCATACATATTCGTCTCCAGCACTGAAACAATTAGCATCACATCGCTTACGAACTCGTCAACAACGTATAGATGAACTTGTTAATGAATACTATACTGATATTATGAAATTATGCAAAATAGTCGATCCCAATATGACTGATGTATCCAAAATTGATCATTTATATCACGGTATAAAATCATCTCTAATGAAAGAAGTATTACGTCAAACTCCTCGTACACCAGCAGAATTTTTGGAATATGCACGAAAAGAAGAAACTCTCGATCGCTTAGTTACAACGTCAGTTAACCAAACTGATTCAGCTATTGCTAGAACGGCTGCATTTAATAATACATTTCATTCCAATGTCGCAATGGATAACACAGAGCATTTCAACAAAACGTCTAACACATATTCTAAACCTTATTTCAACAAGGCTTATTCATCACGATCTTTACGATGTTATCAATGCAATAAAGTGGGCCATATAGCCCGTAATTGTTGGGCTACAAAAAGATATTAAGGGAGCACAATGATGGTAGTGACTCCCATCCATTCCAACCATCATACTATTTTTTGTACAATAATCTTAATCATTCTGTAAAAAATCCACAATATCGTCCACCATTTAACCGCTTACAATATTCACATTATCATAAAACAAAACGCACAACTGTACCTGCTCATTCTCAATCACCTTCTATTCAGCAAGTTATTAAGCAACGCTTAACTCCTCAGGCCGTTCCACGAACCAATCCTTCGTTGATCTTTGTTAAAATCAATGTCCATGGCATACGTTTACGTGCTATGTTAGATACCGGAGCCACTCGGTCGTTTATCACCCAACGTGCACTTGCTAAAATACATCATTACTCATTACAACCATGTGATCGTATCGCCCAATTAGGTGATGGTCACACTATGCTTAAGATAGTGGGTGAAGTTCATTTATGGCTCAAATTTGACCAGATTTTTAGACCTTTGAATGTTCTCGTTGTCAAAAATTTAAACACAGATTTTATACTTGGTGCCGATTGGTGTCCTCAAAATGCCGTACAAATCAATTATGATACGAATCAAGTTTCTATACGTTCATCTACTGACCGCATAATTATTCCATATGATAAATCAATTGATTATTTAACCTTGGATGTAAAATTAATTAATTCCGTCAAAATACCTCCATGTCAATCATGTACGGTTCAAGCAAAAGTCGAATTATCTTCAGCTGACACTGTTTATTTTCACCCGGATATTGATGATCAACTTGAACAATCTATTATACTATCACCATCTTTACTACAGATCCAAAACTATACAACATATTTAGAAATATATAATCCCAATAATTATACTTAAACAGTACCAACGAATACTCGTCTTGGTCGAGTAACGCATGTGACTCATCAAACTGATTCATTTCCATTGCCCGACGCCGTTAATTCGTTATCATCATTCCATCACTATGTTATTAACAGCGTTGAAATTCAACCAGTTCTTTTTAGATCACGGGAAATCATTGATAAATTAACTAATCATATTATTGATTCTGATGAAAGAAGACAAATTCGTG